CATTCCTTTCTGTTGTCAAATAATACTCCCTGTGTGGATAGACCACATTTTGTTTATCCACTCATCAGTTGAGGGACATTTCGATTGTTTCCACTTTTTAGCTATTATGAATAATGCTGCTATGAATATTCATGAACAAGTTTTTGTGAAGACATATGTTTTCATTTCTCATAGGTGTATACCTAGAAGTGGAATTGCTGAGTCATATGATAACTCTATGTTTAGCATTCTGAGGAGCTGCCAAATGTATTCCAAGGAAGTTGTTCCATTTTACAATCCTCTCAGCATTGTGCGAGGGTTATGATTTCTCTACATCCTTGCCAACACTTCTTATTGTCTTTTTATTTTAGCCATCCTAGTGTGTGTATTGTATCTCATTGTGGTTTTGATTTGTATTTCCCTGATGACTAATGATATTGAGCATCTTTTCATGTGCTTAATAGCCATTTGTATATCTTCTTTGGAGAAATGTCTAATCAAATACTTTGTCCAGTTTTTAATTGGATTATCTTCTTATTATTGAGTTATAAAAGTTCTTTATAGGTTCTGTATACAAATCCCTTATGTGATATGTGATTTGCAAAACTTTTGTCACTTTCCATGGGTTGTCATTTCATTTTCTCAATGGAGTTCTGTGATGAAGTCCAATTTATCTATATTTTCTTTTGTCACCTGTGCTTTTGATATCATGTTATCTAAGAAACCATTGATGAATCCAAGATCATTAAGATTTATGCCTGTTTTCTTCTAAGAATTTTATAGTTTTAGCTCTTATATTGAGCTTGATGCATTTTGAGTTAAGTTTTATATATTGTGTCAGGTAGGGGTCCAGCTTCATTCTTTTGCATGTAGATATGCAAAGTTGTCCCAAGAACATTTGTTACACAAAGACTATTCTTTCTCTGTTGTGTTGTCTTGGCACTCTTGTCAAAAATCAATTGACCATAAATCATACTTTGTATGATTTCAATCCTTTACAATTTTTTAAGGCTGTTTTATGACCTAACATTTGTTCCCTCCTGGAGAATGTTTCATGTGCACTTGGCAAGAATGTGTATTCTGCTGTTGTTAGGTGGAACGTTCTATAGGTATCTGTTAGGTCTACTTGGCTTATAGTATTGTTCAAGTCTTCCATTTCCTTGTCGATCTTTTGTCTAGTTCTATCCATTATTGAAAGTGGGTATCAACGTTTCAAACTATTATTGTTGAGTTGTCTATTTCTCCTTTCAATTCTGTCAGATTTTAACTTCATGTATTTTGGGGCTTCATGTTGTCTTCCTGATGGATTGACCCTTTTATCATTATAAAATGCTCTTATTTGTCTCTAGTAACAATTTTTGTCTTAAAGTCTATTTTTTCTGTTACTAGTATAGCCAATCCAACTGTCTTTTGCCAGTATTCTCATTGCTTTTATGAAGGAGTCAATTTTCAAAGAGTTTTAGCTAACCATTCTGGAAAGTGGAACTTCTAACTACTTCTTAAACACCCTTACAGATAATTTTTCTGTTTTTAGGCCTGCTTTCTCCCCTGTTTCCAAAGTTACCTTTTGGAGGCACTACAATACTAGGTAGCTTGGTTGCTTCAATTCCTGCTTAGGATCAGTTTTCTTGGGTCTGCTAAGTCATTTCCATGGGTCCTTCTGCATCCCACCTTCCAAAATTGTTTCACTGTTAACTCCTTTTCTATCTTCTTTGTCCCTTATCTCTTAAAAATGTCTTAACTCCTGCATCAACGGGTTTTCCAAGGATCCAGAGTTCAATGAATGATACAAATATTTAACATGTATTTGAGTTTCTGGTTTAGGACCCAGAGGTGAGGCCCAAGAATTTGCATTTTCAACAAGTTGCCAGGTGATGCTGATGCTTCTGGTCCCAGGACCACTCTGAGAATCACTACCTCCTGTGTGGAACGTAAAGGTGTTCCCTTTGGAGGTGGGGCGGACATGCAGGAGGCAAATGAGAACAAAGAGAGAGAGAGAGAGATAAGAGGGAGATAAGCAGGGAGGAGAAGGATGTAGCCCTTTGCTCTTGTCCCATCGCTCCCAGCTCATGGCCACTCTTCTGTTTTCCCTCTCTCCCTGCATTGATAAAACCGTGACAAAATTTGCTTAGGGAAGGAACTCTTGGCATCAGAATTGTAATTCTATTTAAAGAAAAAAAAGGGGGGAGGATGAAGTCACTATGCATGGAAAAACCTTAAACTGAAGCCCTGCAAATGTATTTTTATATAGACTTTTAAAATGCTTCAGGAGTATATGCAGGGCCTAGAGAAATCAGTCCTCATGTAATTTTTTTTTTTTTTTAGATTTTAAAAATTTTTTCCTTTTTCTCCCCAAAGCCCCCCGGTACATAGTTGTATATTCTTCGTTGTGGGTCCTTCTAGTTGTGGCATGTGGGACGCTGCCTCAGTGTGGCTTGATGAGCAGTGCCATGTCCGCGCCCAGGATTGGAACCAGCGAAACACTGGGCCGCCTGCGCCCAGGATTGGAACCAGCGAAACACTGGGCCGCCTGCAGCAGAGCGCGCGAACTTAACCACTCGGCCACAGAGCCAGCCCAGTCCTCATGTAATTTTATGAGGAGCACTAGGTTGAGTCTTGCTAAGGCAGCAGGATTCTAGGCAATTTTGTTAGGTGGTCACTTGTCTGCAGGTTTCAGATACCTCCAAGGATCTCCCTTGTTCTTTGTTGCAAGTGTGAAAAGGCAGGGACGCTTTCTGAGCCACACAGGCAGAGAGTCAGACCTAGTGGCTGGTTTGGGCCACAGGAAGGAGGAGCCCAGACTTCGGCCATTCCTCTGGGCTATTTTCATGCAGCCATTTGGAGATTCTGCCATAATTACCTCATTTAGCCATGTTTTTGGTTCTCAGGATGTTCTTCTATCGTGTGGTTGCAAGAGAAATAAAATTGTGGCTGCCAAAGATAGTATCCCAAAGGAGAGAAGGAGTCGGGGGGAAGCCAAGAGAAGTGAGAGCTCAAAGCCCTGGCCCCAGGTGCAGCTGCCTTGGAGACACTTTATTACTGAAAATGCAGTGCACCTGGAGAGTTCCTGCTCACACTTCAGAAAGTGGGGAGCTGGGAAGAGAGGAAACAGATTCTGGATAGATGACATGGGAAAGCAAGTTGTAGGAGGCTAAGTTAACCTCTAACTTGTTGCTTCCTTTCTTAGGCCTGTTGTGGTTGTGGTGTTGTCTTTAATCTATAAAACAATGGTTTGGTTTTAGATGATTCCCAAAGGTTCTTCCATCTTTGGTCTTCTGGGATTTTTCCAAGCTCACCTCTTAGATCTTTTGGGAAGCCAAGGTAGGAAACCAAGTCTCTTGACTTTAAGATAGAGCTCAGAGGACATAGAAGATTCAATCTTCTGTAAACTGTGTGGTCCCAGAGGCCACACATTGTTTCCTGTTAGCGGTTTTCAATGGCCTTGGAGTGGAAGGAAGTTCATGGCTATGACAGTCAGGCAGCCGCACTAGGGAAAATATGATAGATTGTGTTGTGTAGGAAAAAGTCAGTATTATCCAATCCAGTAATCAGATTTTCAGACAAAGGCATGACCCTGGAACACATTGTCCATGGCTGAGCATAGCATTAGTCTTGTCTCCAAAAGCAGTTAAAAAAAAAAAACGTGTACTTGGCTTGTCTCTCTCTTTTGGGTATGGAAATATATCTTGCCTGAAAATTTTTCTCATTCATATTTTGGAGGCAACTAAATTGCTCTGAAGATATTAGTTGTAGCAATAATTAATTTAGCATTTATTGAGCACCAACTGTATGCCAGGCTCTGTGTGAAGTGATAGAAATATAGAGAAAGACTCTGAGGTAGGGGAATACATCTCACGTGGAGAGGGGAGAGAAAGGCAAAAAAAAAAAGAAAAGGGCTAATATTCATTTATCCCTCCCTCCTTTTATTCTTCAGGGATTTGTTAACCATTTGCTGTGTGCACAGCTCTGTACTAGGTGCTGGGGATCCAAAAGTGAATCAGACAGTCATACCCTGTGGTCCTTCAAGACCATGCTTCCATGAAGCTTGATGAATCCTGTAGTGGAAGAGGCCAGATTGCCCTGTGATGGGTGGATATATAGGTGACATCAAGATCCTGGAGGGCTTCCCAGAGGAGGTGACCTGGGAACTAAAACAGAAGTACAAATGGGTGCTAGCCAAGTGAAGGAAAGACGGAAGGACCACCTGAGCAATGGCTGAACAGAGGAAGTGCTTAATTGGGTATAGAATGTGGATGTAAGGACGAACAATAGGAAATGAGACTATAAAAGTAGGTGAAGTTCATCTCTTGAAAGATGTTTGATCCCTTGCATAGGACTTTGGACTTCAACCTGAGGTGATGGGGAAATCACTTAAATATCTCATGATGCAGGAATTATTACAGGAAACGGCAGCCATTGAAAAGGGCATAAAGATGATGTAACTGTGTAGATTTTAAGTAAAAAAAAAAAAAAAAAGCAGAACATAAAAGTTGTGTACTCACTGTGATTGCTGATATATAAAATATAATTTTGACTCTGGCAAAGCATAGGAGGATGTCTAAGGGTAGACTCTATTATTTGCATTGTGAGATTCTTTAAGAGTTCCTTTGTAATAGTCACTCAGCATCAAATCTCTCCTCTGTGCCAGCAGATGAGGATACAGCTTCCTCCTTCTACCGTCAGATCTGGAGAGATCGAATAACTTTCATGCAGTTTTAAAAAGTGTGTGATTATGAAACATCTAGGCAAATCTATAGAGACAGAAAATGGATTGGTGGCTGCTAAGGTCTGGAGGGAGGAAGGAATTGGAAGTGACAGCTAACAGGCCCAGGGTTTCTTATTCGGGTGATGGAAACATTCTGGAATTAGTTAGTGGTAATGGTTGTACAACATTGTGAATGTACTAAAAACCACTGAATCGTACTCTTTGCTTAAAATGGTTAATTTTATGTTATGTGAACTTTATTTCAATAAAAAGTACAAGAAGAAAAAGATGCTGATTGACTTTTTTTTGTGGCTAGTAAAGGGCAATCGGAAGTGTGAATTGAACTGCCAGGCAATGGGCTACCGCTTCTACGTACGGCAAGCTGAGAAGGTCATTGATGGTACCCCCTGCGACCAGAACGGCACGGCCATCTGCGTGTCTGGGCAGTGCAAGGTAAGTACCCCTGGGCTTGGCTATCTGGAGTGGATTCTTGGGTGTTCGATCTGTGACTGTGAATCTATTGCTTGCCGGGCTGTGACCTGCTACCCCCAGTCCGTGGTCCCCCTTGAACCGTGAGCTCTGGGAGAAGTGGGCGAAGACAGGGCAGCTTTGTCCACTCTGTGCTTTTGATCTTGGGAAGTCTCCATGCCTCCCTCTGGCACGTCAGTCAAGTGGTTTATGTTTACATCACGTGCTTCAGAAGGGACACAGCGATCTTTCCTCCTTGGGTCTGGAGCTCCTTCCTTACCTCTGAAGTGGAGGTTATGCAAAGGGCACTGCCGGATCAGGCAAGAAACGGTTGGCGTCGTGAGGGTGGCATTTTAAGAGCATGGCGTATTTTATCGTGCCTCCCACCAGATGGGGCAGGCTTCCAAATGAAAGTTGTCTGGTGCCTTTTATAGCAGAAGTTGTTCTTTAAACAGGAAGAGCTTGCAGCCTCCTTGGACTTCTGAAGTCTGTTCCAGGAACACCCCGCCCTGCATTCGCAAACATTCTGGGCTTAAGAGAATCCTTGTGGGATGCTAACCTTTGACAGAAAGAGGCATTTAGTTGAAAATAGTCATCTTCGATGAGATGGCACGGATTCCATTACCACATTAATTTGGGCCTGGGCCACCACCCTCCTTTCATCTGTGAATGTAACAGTGGAGCTGAGACTCTAGCAGGTAAATGACTCTTTGGAGCCCAGACTAAGATTCTGTCTTAATTAACACTGAACAGCTGGCAGGACTGAGTTTCATCCAAGGAAGAGGTCTTGGCTATCACATCTGAAAGTTCCTGTTATACTTCGAATGTAAATCGCCACAATGTGTAGTGTTAGAGCTAATCAAGTGTGATTTATAAGCAAAACCTTCCTCCTCTGGCCTTGTTTTAATGAGGAGGTTTCAAATAGAATACAAAATAGCTTATCAAAGCAGCAGGGCTATTCTCAGATTTCGAATGAAATCAGCCGTCATTTGATATGTGATGCGTGTGAGGTGTCTTTGGAAAAGCAAAACCTCAAAGAATTAGGACATGGTATGGAAGACAGAGAGAGCATGATGGGAAGCACGCGGGAGGCTGACACCTATCTGGCCTCCAATTTTCCAGTCCTTTGGAGAAACCACTGGGTTTCACTCATCCTCTCTGAGCCTCGCCATCCTCAGTTAATACCCAAAGGAGTTCTGTTAGAGTTTTGTGGTGTCCAGCTCAAATGGCTCTGCTTCTAAATGTTGCTAAGCCTGAAGTGATGGACCTTATGGCAGCTTAGCCTTTTCTTTCAGGTCCTGACTCAACTGTTTTATTTCCTGAATATAGGTGCATACTCCCAGGAGGTGGTGTGGTGGTTAAAAACATGCCCTCTGAAGCCAAACTACTTGGGTTCAAATCCTGCCTCTTCCACTGATTTACTGCATGATCTTGCACAAGTTACGTAAACTTTCTGTAACTCTGTCCCTAATCTGCAACATGAGGAGGATGATGCCTACCTCGTGTCGTAGGGAGGAACCACGAACTAACCCACGTAAAGCTCTTGTAACAGGTCTGGCACTTAGTAAGCATGCTGGCCTTTATTAGCATTGTGATTGTTTGTGCCCACCTAGGGCCTGTCGTATTTGAATTTTCTATGCAAAAGTATTTTCTCTTTTTTTTTTGGTAGATTATAAATTTATGCGATTCTCATCTTTTGAGGCAAATTCTCACACTGTAGTGTGAACCAGCAGAGAACTGCAGAGTCCAACTTGGTAGATCCGGGGAAGGGCCCGAGCATCTGCTTTTCTGACAAGCTCCTGTGTGACACAGATATGCTGGTCCATGGATCATACTCGGAGCAGCAAAGTTTTAAAGGATACTTTGATTAAAATCTAGTTAACAGAGAATCAGAAACGTAAATATGGAGTGGTGCAGTGACTTGGAAGGAAGGTGAAATGTGGTCTCTGTCCACTGGGGGAGCATGTTTTCTTAGGGCTGCGTTAAGTGTCTCTGAACTGATGATAGGAAGGAAAAACAAACACTAATGAGGACGTGGGTATGGATTCTTACTAATTGATGAAAACCATTCAGACTGTAGGGCAACCCAGTCTTAATTGCTAAAAGACTGAGGCAGGCGTTCTCCAGGACGTGAGCAGATTAATAGGAATTTGGTGTTACAAGAACGACTTTGGTGTTACTTCGTGTTTGCTCTCTGTGCCCTTGCCTGAAATTCGCTCACTGAAGTTGTTGGACCCGCTGACTGTCCTCGTCCTCTTTCGAACTTCGGTTTAAATAATCAGAAGTGCATTTGCTTCCCAGGCTGACATTCTGTTTACCCTGTGACTTCCAAAGGGGAAAGTGTCCTTTTCTGAATATTTGGTCAGAGGCCCAGAATTCAAATTGCTATCTCTGCCTCGCTGACTTGCAGCTGAGAGCACTGTGACTTGTGGACAGTTCCTGCTAAGATGTGTGTCTGTGTCTGAAATAGTGCCAGGAAGCCTCTGCTGGCCACGTAATGTTGAAAGCAAACCCAGGCCTGCAACAAAAATTAATGAAAAGGGACAAGCATTAAATAAGTATGCAAGCTGAACCCACAAAAGGGTAGCTAATGGAGGGGGCGTCCTCCCCACACCAAACCAAAGAAAGGCCCCAGGCCCTCCCAGCGCGCGCTGGAAGACTGTTCCAGCACCTAGCAGAGCACCCCCGGCCAGCCTGTGTTTACCCTGTTGCTGGAGCTCCTCTGTGTTTTAGATCCAAGAGTTGGAAGAAGGGCAGGAGGAATGCAGACGGCCTTGGGCTGGGGGCTGGAGAAAATGAGGGTCCTTCTCCAGTCCCTCAGTGCTGCTCAGTTCCTTTCTTGACAGGGACCAGAGGGTCTCAGTGTGACTTCAGGCTAAGGACTGCTTGTAGATAGACTTTGAAGGGAAAGAGCTCAGGGCCTGTCTTTTCCTAAAGCAAGAGAATGTAGCTGAAGCTCCCAGAGATTCCACCTTCCTCATCCTGACCCCTTCCCTCTAGACATCAAACAGGAACGTCTGGCCAGTCTTCAGAGAAGTCTCTGAGACACTTCCAGCCCTGTCCAGTCGTTATTATCATTTATGGGAATGAAATAGCACTCGTGTCTAATTAACAGAGAGCACAGTAATAATTTCTATCATTAAGCATCATATTAACTATGCTGTGATTTTTTTTCACTTGATCTCAGCTTTAAACTTGAACTAAAAAATTCTGAATTTTCAAAGTTTGATGAATATATATTACATTTGCTCACAACTTAATAAAAATAGGTGAAACTTTGTCTTCAAAGGTATAGTAGGCATTTGAAAAGAACAGGGTCACTGGAGTAAAGACTATGAAAAAAACAACCTTCGTGCCCTGGAGACCAGCCTTTCAGAAACCTCAGGCTTCCAGACATGAATGATCCTGAAAGAGTCAGAATCACCCCAAGACCCATGCTCTGCCCCTTAAAAAAAGTCTTTGGTGGTAAAGGAGCAGTCCTTGAGGAAGGACCTTGCAATAAATAGGCTGACGCAAAGCAAGGGAGTAAGGTGTTGGAGCCGATGCAAGCTAGGAAGGAACCATTTCTAAGAATCTGTCTTGGCCCAGACACTGTGCTATGTACTCTACACACCAAATTATTTCATTAATTTGTCTGCCTTACAGAGGACCTTTGTGAAGATGAAATGGGGTGGACAAACTAAGTGCCAATGGGGGTTAACTATTAAAATTGGCTTTTTAAGACATACTGTTAATAAGAACAGAAAGAGTAGTTTATATGTGTTGGGAAGAAACCCATGTGCTTTCGGTCTCTCCTCTGTTCTGAGTTTATTTTCCTCACTGATTCTTTCCAAAACAGAGTCTCTTTTCAAAACACACATCAGGACACACCTCTCTTTAGCTAAAATTCCATCTGTGGCTCCACTTTGCCTATGGAATTAAGTCCAGGCCCTTCATCGTTTGTCTCCTGCCAGGCCTCCCTGGGCCCCCACTGCTGGCCAGGCTGGGACGTGTTACTCCCAGACCTGGCAGGCCTGCAGGGTTGTCCCTCCATGAGAATGTACACACTGTCCCGTCAGCCTGGAGTGCTGTTCTGTGTCCACTCTTGGTCCAACCAGTGGACTCTGCTCAAAAGCCACTGGCTGACCCCCTTGAGGACTGTTCTATTCTTCTGTTCCCACTTCTTGTACCTGTTTGCTCCCATCGCCCCTGCCCGCCCCCCAGCCACACTGGGAGCCATTCCAGGCACTTTGCTGTAACAAAATGCCTGCCATTTGAATAGGTGCTTAAAATAAATGTGTAAATGAATCGAGGTACTTAGTGACTCAATATGTTGGATTTCAGCAAATGAAATTAGTCTTGAATCCAGCACAGAGTTTTCTCATTTTTGGCTGGGATGGGCAGTTGAGTGCAGATAAAAGAAGGACGTGAAGCCCCCTTGGCAGGGTCCCCGGAACCCAAGGCCTTGAAGATCTGGGAGAGTGCTTGGCCCTCCCCCAAGCTCCTGTCTCCCTCATCTTGTTTTTAATTTTTCTCACTCTGAATTTCTTGAGTCCCTTCAGAGCATATGATGGAAGAACCTAAGCAAAGGTGCGGGTGCACGCTCCCATGCTGCCTTCTGTTGAGGGGAAAGGACCCCCTTCTGCCCACCAAACTTCACCTCTCGTCCCTAGCCAGGCATCGCCTGCCGTGCAGGCGTGTCCAACGGCCCACCATCCACCGGCACGCAGCAGGGTCTCACACCTCCTCCCCTAGCTGGCACACGCTCAGCTTCCATCGGGCCACATCGGCAGACAGCAGTTTCATATTATTCAATAAATGACAGCAAGGTAACTGTTTCCAAACGGTCAGAGATAAGCCCTGGACCGGTGTGTTGCTCTGCCTGAGAAGGATGACATAATGGGTGTGTGCATCTGTTTGTGCGCTCGTGTGTGTTCAGGCGCCAAATTTCCCTTCTCCTCCGTTGTAAACTGCTATTGTACTTTCTGGAGCCAAACAAGTAGACT